ACCCCAAGGTCCTTTTCGGCTGGGGGGCTTTCCAGCCACTCTTCCCCAAGCCTGTAGCGTTGCATGGGGTTGTTGTCACCCAAGTGCAGGACCCGGCATTTGGCGTTGTTGAAACTCATACAGGTGGCCTCGGCCCTTCGATCCAGCCTGTCCAGATCCCTCTGCAGAGCCTTTCTACAATCCTTCAGCTGTTTTGATAAAAAATCAGCAACTGCTGTATGTGGCTTGAGTAAATCTCATTGAGGCTGTGCTGCAGTGGGTTAGGGAGCGTTCACACATTCAGTTCAGTCAGTACTGTTACAGCCAGAAGAGACTTCCTTTATTTCATGTTGCTGTCTCTGATGGTACTTGATTACTTTCCTTGTTATCACGTGTACATGTGAAATCTCTGCTAGACTGTACTGAGTCTTTTTCTTCTGTGGTGTTTGAGTTTGGGTAGCCACACGGGGAATTGCCAGTGCTGATTATTCCTTTTTGTGGTGGAAAAAAGATTGTGCACTATTTCTTTGATATGGTCTCTGAAATTCCTTTGTGTTCATCTATATTAGATCCTGCGTGACTGAAGATTGCCATTAGGCGTACCTTTTTTCCCTTTCAATGGAAACTTTTTGATCTGTGTTGTCTGCATGAAGAAGGTTGCTCTGTCAGGGCCACAATTCTTCTTCACTGAAATTGAACAGGTTAAATTAAGATTGGGACCAGGATTTTAAAGTGGTAGGAAGAGACAGCTAAGAGTTGGGAGAGGATTTGACAGAGTCACAGCAGGCAACCCTTTTGTATACCAGCTGAAGTTTGTCTGTTTTGTGTGTTTTCTGTTTACTCTCCTGTTCCTTACATTGCACTAGGCTTGATCGCTACTTTGGGATAATAACCATTCTTCGGTAGAAGAACACTAAGATTTAGGATATGATTCACTTAGACTTGGACACCTAAACTTAGCTGTCTGCATGTGCGCTAGCTGTCTAAACTCACATAATTGAGTGCTGCTCAGTACAGCCAGTGGAGCCTACAGGGTTGTTGAACCTACCGACCAGTTAGGTGTCTGCTCTAGAAAACCTACTCGAGTCTCCACTGACTTTTCTGACTAGATCCCTGCTGTCCGTAATGGCTGCTTAGATGCCTATCTATAGATATCTGAAATGTAGGTGTCTTAACCTAAACCTGAGTCCTGGCCTTAAAGCCACGATCAGACCTTTCTCTGTGTGCGCTGTCCAGGTTTTAGTTTGATCACCTTTGCTAATCAGATTCTTGGATGTTGTCTTTCAGGGTACTTTTTCCAGGAGGTGGCGTGGATCTGACGACTTCGGAATATTCCAGGATTGCTAAGATATTTTACCACAAGGCATTAGAGGTAATTACTAAGGAACAGTCTGTTGTTGTTATTGTCACTGTTCAGAGGTCAAAATGACAGGGAGGCTCATATTTTCATAGTTTTGCATTGGCATCCAGTGTGTGAACTGTAAGCCCAAGTATAAGTAGCTCATTGCTGGCTTCTGCATAAAAAAATCATTTAATACCTTAAGATTCAGACTTCTGACACTCTCTCCTGTGACGTGTTGAGAGTCTTAAATTCCCAGGTTCTTCAGGCAAGAACAATATCATTTGCCTGTTGTACCTGGGGCTTTATGGCTGTGTCGAACTTGCAATAAAGTAACAATAATGCTTTCCAAAAGCACAGTATCCCTTGACGTTAAGTGTTGAACAAAATTATACATAAAGGTAATCATTTGTAGAAGTCTTATGATGAAAGTTTAGACTCTGAAGGAATTCTAGAGAGACTCAAACTAATTTACAACAATATAACGTTAATCCCTCCCTTTGCATGTATGTTACACCTAGCCAAACACCTTTATTCTTGCTTATCTGTAAGTAGACTTAAATATGTCTTTGGAGGTGCAGATGAGGGATCTACGTTAACACGTTATACCATTTTACCTATTTCTTTGCATTAGTACCTGTAAATGTAGCAGATATTTAAAGGAAACACTAGCTTAATTTATAACACAAAAAAAGGTGGGAAAAACTCTTGAAAGGTTATATTAATTATTTTTTAATATTTATATGATCATTAGCTTTGTTAAGAAAAAATTGAATTTCTGAGAAAGCTGTTTCTTTCAAAGAACATCAGGAAGGCTCTGAATCCTTTCTAAAGATGTAGTTATCTTCGAGCTTAAGAGGTGGGGCTTTTTCAGATAGTAAGACATTTTGAAGTAAAATTGCAGTGTGGAAAGGCACGGAGATTTGTTAAGGATCTTCTGTATTCAAACTGAATAAAAATGTAAATTTTCTTCCTTTTTTCCTCTTTGCTGGTTTTATTTTCAGCTAATGTTGATTAAAATCGTCACAGAAGTCATACTTTGGCAAACTTTCCCCAGTTCTAGAGGCAGTTATGAGTAGTGCATAAACTGTTACCGTGGTAGAAGCGTTTACTGGCAGTGAGGAATTCCTCTTCTACCCTTGCTGCCAACTTTTCAACAGAAGGCGAGGAAAGCGCAGGCAGTGGCATTCACAGTACCAGTCAACTGCTGCAATTCAGTAATTAAGTTTCCTGCTCTTCAGTCCCCATGGCACCAATGTTATTCTTTTGTCTGTCTGTGCCTGTGGTGATTGTTAGTCTGTCGCCTTAAACCTGAATCTTGCATAGACGGATCTCACTTTTATGGCATGTGACGATTAATCTCATTTGTCTCTTCGAAACTGCTCGCTCTGTGAAGTGCAGCTTGTGTCTGGTATTCAGTATTAGGGCAAGGGTTTCTTGTGGTTTGCAGCACTATTATGAAATTCCATTGATGTTTCACAATGATGAACTGAATTGCATATGTCGTAATTTTATGATCAGAGAGGCAAATTTATTAGATGATATGTGTTCTTCAGGTGAGTGAAAGGCAGAAAACAGTTTTCAGTTCGTAGGTAACCCTTACTAGTAAGTCGGGTTTTTTTCTGTGCTGTATGTGATGAAAGTGTGTTTTGATTTTTGTCTTTTTAGATTTAATTAGCGCTATAAAATACTGGTAGTTTTACTAATGTAAGGTAAGCTACAATAGTCAAGAGTATATTAGCAGGTACAGAATTAACTGAATTTCATGTTTTCTTATAAAACATATGAGGACTCATTTTCTCTTCATTTTCAAATGTTCACAATGAGAAATGACTTGGTGTGGCTCTGCTTTAGTATTAATAAGAGGATGTGAAATGCTAATTCCTATCCAAGACAGCAGAATTTGACTAGCTAGGCAAAAACCTAAATGAAATACAGTTTTCTAGCTTTTAAATTAGTTTTGAAAATATGTCTTGGGCATCATTCAATATACGTTTAGCCTCCAGGCTAATGTTTATTAAAAAAAAGGGGGGAGTGAGTGACAAAATGTTTATGGTTCAGTTGTAATTGTTCTTGAACTGTGGTCCATTTTTTGCCTTTAGTGTTTTTATTCCTCACTTGTATGAAAGACACACAGTGGAGTTGCAAGTCCTGTGTCTAACCATGCGTGGCAGGGGGTCATGAAGACTCCGCAGTACTACTAGTTGTCTTTCTGTAACTCTTCCATGTTTTGTTCTGAGAACTAGTTATATGGGGTTTTACTACCATGCTATCAGTAATGCAGTAGGGTAACATTTTTATTCTGAACCTGTGATTTCAGCTTTCTCAAAAATGACTGTTTTAGCAGCAGCTCTTTGGGGGTGGTGGTGGTATGCATAACTTCAAAATGTTTAGAAACAAGTTAAGAAAGACTACTCAGATTTCAGAAAACCAGGAGTTCTGAAACATCCCAGTCTCTAACATGCACTTACTATCAGGAATAAACCATATAAAAATGCAAATTTCCACTATGTGTATGCACCCTGCTTAGTTGAGTGACAGGAAGGTAGTTGTGTTCTCTTTTTGCTTTCCTTTTCTCCTTTTTGCTTTCTTCTCTTGTTTTTGCACTTACCTGCCAATTTTTGTTCATGTGAAAACGATTGTCACTTTTTTTTATGTTGCTTAAACTCACAATTTACCTTTCTGGAACACAGATCCAAGCCTGCTAGTTAAACAAGCATATAAGTGTGTCACTGAAGACCATAGCCATGCTAGTAAGAGGATTTATGTTTTCTTAGTACAGATGGGTGGGCAGATGCATGTGGACATTGCAAAGGGCTTTTGCTGTGTGATCATAGCATGCTTCATATGAAAGTATGAGTTGTAATGAATAGACTTTCCTTCAAAATGGTTACAGATAGGTTTGTGTCCCTTCTTATGATTGCCTTTTTTATAGAAATGTTGACACTTTGTGGTTTCTCTTTAGGCTGCTGTCAACATTACTTATTTGTAGAACAGAACAGTCAAATTAATACTGACATTAGGCTCAGTTTACTGCTTCAACAGACATGTGTATATCCCCTAGCCTTCATATTTAAGAGAAAAACTAAGGGAGTCTGTGTTTATTTCAATTGTAATTGGACTGTTACAATTCCTCTGATAGCAATTTGTACTACTGTAGTAGTTTTACTTGTCACCTACACAAGAGAAAGCGAAAAGAGTAGGAAATTCTCTTCAGTCTTATTTCTGTAAATCTTCAGTACTTTTTCCTGATGTTGTTGCTTTTTATTTTGAAGGCTAACGATAAAGGAGATTATTTCCCAGTGTGGGGAACATGTCTTGGACATGAAGAGCTTACCTACCTCACAAGTGGCGAAGTTTTACTTGTTAATACGAAGACAGATGGTTTTGCGCTTCCTCTGAACTTTACCTCAGGTGAAAAATCCATTACATCTCATGTCTGAGTTCTGCTGAGAGGTGTTGTGCTGTGTTTGTGATAAATATGCAGGGGTGAATGTTTGGGAGGTTTCTGATGATTTAGTTGTTAAATTCTTTCTCATTAGGTTGCCTCACTGTTTGTATAAAGTCAGTGCAACTCTGTCACTTCTAAAGCAGAGAAGTGAGCACAAGCCATTTGAAACCAACAGCAGGCAGCAAAAACCACAGCTGTGGCTCTTTGAGTCCTTTGATAATTTGGACCTACAAAAATGATGCAGATTCAGGTCCCTGTTTGTTACCAAAGTGAAGAAAATTCACGAGTCCAAAACCTATGAAACTTGGAGAGTAGGTGATTTTAAAATTTTTCGAATTGCATCTTTCCTGATGATGAATATTAGCATTGCTGTCCCACTTGTGCAGTACTGAAATTGGAGAGGTCCCTGAAGATAGAGCTGCCACTCAGCAACACTGGTAAAATGTGGCCTCTGTTGATACTTTATCCTTTAATTTGTGAGTGATCCAGCTGCGGACCGTGTAGCATTCACAAATTCTGTCAGTTGTGCTCATTGTGAATGGAAAGGCCGCTGAAATAAGTGGCAAAGAATGATGCTTATTTTAGTGAGAACTGAGGTAGCAAAGTCGGGTCCTCTCTGAGTCGAGATTGGTGGTAACAGCATATTGGGAGCATCTTGTAGTTATTTCACTGATTTTCCTTGCAACGTATTCTAAAATCATAAAGTTGTGCTACAGAAAAAAGTGTAATGCAGTATTTTGTTAAATTTGTCTCCTGTTCAGTATTAGTCCATCTGTTAACAGCTTGGGTAGTGGACAATATCGTTTCTTCATTTTTCTTTGTAATAGCTGCAAAAAACAGTAGACTGTTCAAGAATTTCCCTGATGATTTATTACATGCATTTGCTACTGAGCCGTTGACATCCAACTTTCATATGTGGAGCCTCTCCATGGAGGTATTTGGTCGTTTTATTTCCTGAACACAAACACATTTTCTCTGTTAAAACTAGAATAAAATGAGCAAATAACACATCTTTTGACCCCCTCCTTATCACAGAATTTCACAAAGAATGAAAAGCTTCATAATTTCTATAATGTTCTGACCACTAACACCGATGATCAAGTGGAGTTCATATCTACCATGGAAGGTAGGGAATTGAATTTCCTTTGTAAACTGTGACTGCAAAAAACTAGTTCTTTAGAGGTGTTGTGGCATTGATGTCAATTTATACTGCAAGCTTGCTGTTCGAATAGCAGGGTGAGCGTCAGCCCTGTCAGTGCTCTGACGGTGAGGAACATACTCTGTTTGCAGAGATGTTTTATCTTTTGAATAGATATCTGTGAGCCTGGTTACTTACTGCTCTCACCTGCTGTTCTCCTTCCAAGTACGCTTTAGGACTGGAGTATTCGAGTGCTGTGATGTGAAGTGTACAGCACTCGTCCTGTAGTAGTGTAATGCCTCCGCAGTGCAGTGTGCCTGTGTTGCACCTTGCTTTCTGTCTGTCTGCTTAGGCGTGCATTCCTGTGATGCTCTGTATCTGTTTGCTGTAGGGGAAGAGCAATTCGGGGTACTGAGGTAACAGCAACATCCCTCATTGCTTCAGCAGTAATACTGGTAATTGCCCTCCTCCAAAAGCCTTTTGCACTGCGTATCTTGTGTTGGGGATGTTTTGCACTAGACTTGCTCAGCTCGAGAAACAAGTTAGCTCTTTAGGGAGTGGTTTATCTTGATCAATGCACCACTAGTAGCTCCACAGTAAGGCCCAGCTGTCGGCCCACGGGATTCTTCTGTATGGCACACTGGCTGTCCTCCAGAAGAAAAGAATAGCAGTTTGATCAGGAAAACTGATTAGGCTAATGACAGACATCCCCCGTGCCTGTAAGTGGTTTATCACAGAACAGTCGTCTGCTGCTGCGCTGCTGTTCTCCGTATGAGAGTTAAGGACTGGCTTCCCCCTGTGTGTATCGGGCCTGGCACAGAGCAGGTGGGAGCTGCCCCTGGGCTGACTGGGCATTCAAGGAGATCCGAAGACTTAGATCTGTCCCGTGGAACTGCCAGGGATATTCTGTGTGGCTGTGAATATTGTATGTTGAGTGATGCTGGCAGTAGATAGGAAGTTTTGAGACTGATACACTTGTAACATTATTTTTTAGCATATATGTATATATATATAAAAATTCTGAAATGAATAATCAAAAAAGTGATGTACAAAAATCTTCTTGCGTGGAGTGAGACCCTTGTTTTACAATACCCATTTTTTCCTTCAGTTCTGCTGTGACTTTAACAGAGTTTCAACTTGCTGTTTAAGCTTTTGTGAAAGTGTTAATAAGTGAGGTATTTTTGTAGCTTATTCTTTGAGGTTTTTTTGCAGTGAGACTAAATACATAATTCTTAAGGCATAGATCTTGCTTACGTGCTTTGTGTTTGTTGCAGCGTACAAATATCCAATTTATGGTGTCCAGTGGCATCCAGAGAAAAATCCTTTTGAGTGGAAGAATTCGCCAGGAATTCCACATTCCCCGTCAGCTGTAAGAGCAGCATATTACATAGCTGACTTCTTCATTAACGAAGGTAAAAAGTTTGTAATCCATAAATGTCGATTATTTAGAGTGAAGCATTAGTGAAAAATCTTTAAAGATGACAGACCTTTTTTTCAGCTGTCAAAGTTCAGTACCTCTTACTGCTTTCTGAGAAGATTACTCTGCAAGCTTTATAGGCTTACAAAAAAAGCAAGGGGTACTAGAAATAGAATGGCTTAGTAAAAGTGACATCGAAAGGCCAGGCATTCCACAAACTGTTTTTAGTAGACTGGCTCAAAAGCATTGTTTGTGCTGTGACTTTCTACCGTTTCTGTCATTTCACTGTAAGATTTTAGTCTCCCTGGCACAAACAGAATGAAACAAAAAAAGTACTCCTTTCATAATTCCAGAGGTTTCTTCAGTTCCCAACTGAGTTACAGTCATTCAGTGTATTCTCCCTTGCAAAATATATGCACCAAGATCACAAATACTGCTTGGGCAGGATATGGATGTATCAAAGGGGTACAATATGGTGTTCAGCAGTTATACACTATAGACAGCACAAGAAGTTCTTGAATTTTACAGAGCCTCTAATTTGTTTGTTTATACCATAAGAAGCTGGAAGTAACTAGTGTGTAAAATTTATGACACTTCTGGTCTATTTGTTGTAAATATGCAGGAGATAAATACAGAAGTATTTGAAGGGCTCAAACTTACTTTATTCCTTTATTTATACGTATTATGCCATTCTGCTGAAATAACATTTTCATATTTTAAATTGACTATTTATGAAATTGTCTTACCTGATCGATTGGAAGTATGAAGAACATAATCAGTAACCTAATTGAGTTTGGTCTTTAGATTTGATCTCTAATCAAAAGAGTCACCTAATTGGAGAGAGCAGACAGTGATTTAAAGAAATGCAACTTGTGCTGACCTGGTCAGTGAGAGTGTAGAACTAAAAGTTGTGCTTCATACACGTTCAAGGCTCTTTTTTGCATAATGTAGTCCTACTCCTCTTTGCAAAAAGGTAGCAAAATCATGTCAAATTCCTTGTCAGTATCCATAAGCTTCCTGTATTTTAAGAATTTTGATTAGGGTACTTATGAGATACTAAGACAAAAATAAAGGGGAAAAAATGAGAAAGTATAGTATGAGTCTGTTTTTTCTTTCGTAGTCTAATACTAGAATGCAGCATGTTTTCTAGCTCCATTTGCTACTTCTCTAGTACCTGTCTGCACACTGTATTACAGGCAGAAGTAAGCTTCCTCAGGCCATTATACAAGTAAATGTTGCAAAATAAGTGCCAACTCTGCTTGTAAGTCCTATTGAGACACAGTACATGTGAGTTCTTTTATGTATGTATACACATATAATGAGTTTATGCATAGTACCACATAGATGTGTCGTTAGCTTTTGGATCTGTTGACCTTCAATTCTAGTAGAGCAAATTCATGTCAGCCAGCTGTACCCCACCTCACATACCAAATCGTGAGTTATTCTTCAGTACCTCCCCAATCCGTATACAGCTGCTCCTACTGAGTACTTCATGTCGTAACGTTGCAATGAGTAATTGATGTTTTAGCTAATGAAAGCCAGAATGTCTTCCTTAGCTTTGAAAATAAACCACAGGGTGAAAAATGTAAACTGTTTTCAGCTGGCAAAAATACACTCATTTGTGATCTATGATTAATATCTAAACCATTCTACTGAAGTACCATTTTCATACCCGTCCGTTGTTAATTTTAACTTGTGTAGAGTTGGTGATAAACCAGACAAGGATTCAGTTTTTATCGTTCTCGCTAGCACAGTCCATGCTAACACTGCAACTTTCAGTAGGCTGATACTCTGTTATATCTTCGATGTATATTCAAGTACAAATACTCTTTCAGTATTACAAGTACTGGTATCTCTGGTAGATGCTGCCAGTATCTCATGGATAGATATTTTTGTACGATCTTGGTTTTAGTAGTAATTAAATAATAATTAAATTTCTTCCTCCCCGGTAGTAAATATGCTGTAACTACCTTTCTGAAGATGTATCTTCATAGTTCTTCACATACAATTTACTGTAATTTCATTTGCTGTTATGCTACGCAGAATAACTTACTTTGCGAAGAAAGATACTGTCAAGGAGGGTAACAGTAAAGTGATCTGTACTTTTACAATTGTTTTACAGCCCGAAAGAGCCTGCACCATTTCCCCAGTGAAGATGAGGAAACAAAAGAATTGATTTATAATTATACTCCAGTATATACAGGAACATTTTCTTCATTTCAGCAAATCTACTTTTTTGACTGAGTACCGTGTCAAAGGTGCAGTGTTGCTATTTGTAAATGGAATTATTTACCAGCATTGTGTAATTAAGCTGATATAGTGCACTGCACGTGAAAGCCAGAACAGTTCTTTTCCTTTACAAGGATTTATCCTGTGTTTCTTCTGCACTGTTGGACCATTAATATTAAAATTTACATTCAGTAGCACAAGAATTGTCTTAGATCACACTGTTAAGGCAAGCTACAGACAAATTATTTTTTCTTCCAGGGAAGGGGTCTTGGTTATGCTTATAAACTTGGAAGTAGTTGTGTTTAGTACAAGGAAAAACTGTGTTCGTATATTTTAAAATATGAGAGTTATCTCTGTAAAATGTTGTGGAGTATGGTGGCACTAAAGGCTTAGATATGTTGCTCAGTAAAATTCTATCCTTTTCAAATGATTTAACAAATGAGACTCTTGGGTTGTCATGAATATGTGTGTGTAACCAAGTTCTTGACAGGGACTATGTTGTCATTTGAAAAATCGACCAAAATAGTTAGGAGGCATGATAGCAAAGAGACATTCTTGCGTAAAAAACACATGTTATATCCCATTTATGAAACTGTTTCTCTTGTACATTCAACATTGTTTGGTGTGCTTATACCTTGTGAGGTCTATGTAAATATGAGGATGCAGTGTAAACTAAGCATTGCAAATATCAGGTAAAATAAGTAAGTTTGGAGGGCATAGTTAAGTGCTGGTTCCACTTCCTGTTCTTTTCAAATTCAGTTCTATATATTCTTCAAGAATTTGTTTGAGAGTAACTGGGGTCAGCAGGCAGATATGAGATGCGGACGTCTGTTTCTTTGTATTTAACAGAATGTAAACCTAATTTTTTCTTTATATAGTCTGACTTTCCCTGTAGCTACTGGATAGAATTCTCACTTCAACTCAGGAGGTAGTTTGCCGTTCTTGGTAAAGACCGTAGTTTGTTTCTGTCTTGTTGGATAGTTTAACGCAGCTAGAAATTAAACAGCAGATGAATGTATATGAAACACCTATTAATGTTGACATAATGTGATAATAGCAGTTGCATTCAATACACTGTGATATTTTTTCCTTTTTTTTTTCCTTTGCTGCATTCTTAGTGAAGGTGTTGTTCAGTGTTTTTGTGTGGTGTCCAAAAAGGAACTAAGATGAGACAATCAAATAGAACTCTCCTCTGTTGCACAGCTTCCAAACTCTGTTAACATCAATAGAGGTTTGGAGTTTGTGAAGAACTCAGGTTTATACCTCAGCTCTGTTTTGTAGTACCTTATAGTCTCAAGTGCCATATCTGTATAAAGCTGATACGTTTCTCAGGTTTTTCAAGTAAAAGACACTCTAACTTGTTCTTTATCATGAAACAACTGTGTAAGAGACTGTGAAATGCATTAGTTAAAAAGCTATGAGGAAACATTAACTGTGACTACCAGAAAGACGCTACTAGGTAATTACAAGCTTAAACATGTGATGTTGCAGATTATTTCTCCATTTGTCAGATAAGCCAAATTCAGTAAATGGAACTAATTTTAAATACAGGTGACTTTTTTATATTAACTATGTTAGCTGACTCCTGAGTAGAACCAAGTGTAAAAAGAGGATTACGCTCTACAGTTGCATATAAACGTAGCAGCTAAGATACAAACCAAATCCAGTCTTCTTATTTAGGCTGAATTCTTTGGCATAGCTCTAAGAATTTGCCTAAGTAAGGAGGGCAGGATTTAGCCTTAAAAACAGGGGTCAATCTTGCAAGTGAAATGTCTGCTAACTGCAATGGTAGTGATTAGTTCTTAAGTGTACAACTATAAGGAATATTGTGTGCAATATAATGAGAGAGCAGTGTATTTATTATGAATTTGTATGTGTCTTTCCTTAATATCTTTGATCTTGTAAGGCCTTATTTGATGGTGTCCCTGATTTTTCTATGATATATAAAATAAACTTTTATTCCAGCAGATGCGTATTTTTGTTCTTTGTTGGATACCGTAGATAGAGCAGTAACAGTCATTGTCTTTTTATTTATATCTGTGACAGTTACAAATCGGGAGGCTGCTGTAACCTGCGTCCCCTGGGTATGGTCATGTCAGCAAGCCAGGGTCAGGATGAGTGAGATCCGTGGCCCAGCACAGACACACTTCCAGCACGGCTCAGGTAGGGCCCCATGCCCACAGTCCCAGCTTAAACACACTGAAACGTGGCTGCTGAGCCAAGGGGCAGAAGCTTCCAGCAAGGCTGCCCATGGCTCTTCCTCATGCAGCCTTTTCACAGCAGGCTCATCCCAGGTGCAGAGCGTCAGAGCTCGCTTGCACGCAGGCAGCCGAACTCTTGTGAAGGTTGGAAGGGGTTGCAGAGCTGGTGGATGTTCTCAGGGGTCTGAGAGCTGTAAGCAAAGCAACTTCTGTCTGCAGTGTTCAGCGAAGTGAGAACTTCTGTCTGTTCCTGATAATACCTGACATCTTCCATCAACTTCTCCAGTCAGAAGGAGACTATAGGAACCCAGAGTTGGCTAGCACTCACCTGATAGAGGATTTTTGTTTTAAAGAAGTTTCAGTAGACCTCCTCTGTGCTCAAAGTGATTTACAGTATGGTTTTTCATTGCTCAGACAAAACTTCCAACATAGTTTTTAGGATTAGTGCTGGAGAGAGAGGAAAAGGAGTGTTGTGAATGACTGGTTATGTCGCTTAAAAGATCACTCAAAGGCTTTGCAAGAAAAGATTTTAGTGATAATTAAAAAAACGTGATCTTACGAAGCTCGTTGACAAGGTTCACTCTATCACTTATTAAATGAATGGAATGAAAAATCAAAGGGGGTTTTGAGTAGAAAATTATTTATACAGAGTGGAAGAAAAGTGTAAGGGGGCAGGGAGACCCTTCCGATGAGTCACCAGGTTTGGACTGGACCCCCTTGCTCTAAACCCCTTCTCAGAGCGGAGCCTGGGTGCAGCTGGATCCAGGACTGACCATAGACCACAACAGTTTATGACTAAGGAATAAGCTTAGCAGCAGTTCAGGGTGTGCTCACAGTTTAAAGAGAGCAAGAGAATCACAGAAATTTAGCAGCTATTAATCACTGATTAACTTAGCATTTGCAGAGTGGTTAAAAAGAATTTGCTATTGTAATCATAGTAATAGAATATTCTGTTTTGAATGGATTCACACACACACACACACACACTCTCTCTCTCTCTCATCAAAATTCCCCTCAAGCTCAGTGAAATACTCACTTCCAATCGAATGATTTCTAAATGGGTAAAGGTTGAGTCTCGAGGAGATCAGCCCAGGCAGTTGACGAGTTACTCTGAGAGGCATCCCACGCAGAGGGAGTTACAGGGCACAGCGCGCTGCGGACCAGAAGAGCTCAAAGGGCCTTCCTCGGTGCTGCTGTTTATAGGGTCTCAAGATGACTGACTTTAGGCATCAGTAATTTTCCATCCTGGTCACAATCCACATGATGCAATCCTGATGTTTAGACAAAAACTATGCAGTTCTAGTACTACCCAGAAGGTACAGTTCTGACATTTACCAGGTGGGTGCGAGTCCGGGCTTCAGGAGCTTCGGGTGTGGTCAGGGAGCGCCTGATCGGCCCCGCTCACTGCTCCTGTACAAAGACAAGGGAAGTGCCAAGTCATCCCGATTCGAGGAGCCCGTGGCCGTGCTCTCAGTTTATTCAGAGTATGGCTTATGAGCCTAATCATCTTGCTTGTGCTGTGTGGGGGAAAACATCATTCATCAGCAAGGTAACACCGTGTCTTGCAGATTATATTACATCATCTTTCAGAAGGCAAAGTTTGAACTGTTTTTCTGTTTGTACTATTCTGCTTTTACCAGTAGATGGCCTACAAGAACCAGTATTTCATGCAATTCTGTACTCGAGTATGGTGGTGGCTCAAGTTTTAAGTGACGTGTTGAACAGGATATTTACTGCAATTACAAAGAAGAAACATCCTGACTAAGTGCTTTAAGTACAGAGTTGAAAGTAAGAGGAAGGGCCTAACTCACAAGCTGCTTTGTGGGGAAAAAGCCAAACAAGAACCCACCCAAAACCCAGGTCTGACCAGCTATGCAGAATACCCAAGCAAGGTAGTGAATCCAAAGCAGGGATTGATGTCCGAGCAAGCCATGACCCTGTTCCCATCTCAGTGCTGACTCTAATAATTACTCTGCTAATTTTCAACCGCTTTCACTTCTTCATCAGTGCCACTTTACTCATTGCTGTGGATGCCACTCAGCAAAAGGATATTGAAAGATGGACTGCACTGCACTTCTGAGCAGATCTCCATAGAAATTAGCAGCCTGTTAGGGAGTGGTGGTTCTTTTGCTGGAACAGCCAAGGAAGTACAGCGACAGTTTGAACAACCAGGAAGAACAATAACGAATATTTTCCCAGCTGTGTGGTGTTATCCCTGTATTGTCCTTATGAGGCAGGAGTTCTGAGGGGAGAGAAATAGCTGCGTGTGTGATCAGGCACTCAAAGAGTGCGTGCCCATGTGTACCAATAATATTTGGGTTTGAGCTGGGAGGGTGTACGTATCATAGTAATTAACTTAATTTTTAATTTTGTTTTGTTTTAACTGTTGGTAGGTTTTTTTTCGTATCTGGAGTTCACTCCTATGTATCTGTTGGTGGTGTTATCAGAAAAGCCATGGGAGTTGGCTAGTGTTCAAGTCCCATTAAGGTTTCTAAATGTCTGTCCGAATTATTTTGGTGTGATTACTTACATGGAAGACGGATTGACAGATACTGTAAGGTGATTGATTACTTTCCCTTGTTAGCCTTGTGTCTTTCCCCAGGGCAGGCTTTCTTCCTGATGCAGTGCTTATTTATAGGGCAAATAGTGAGGAATAGCCTGCCCAGGGCCACCTGTTGATCAGTTTACTATTCCAGCTCTCATCACTTCCTCATGTTTATAACTGTTTCATAATGTAAGCAGTATATTTCAAGAGACAACTTTATTTATGAGTTCTTATATAACCAGACATTTCCAAGACCCTTTCATCCAAAAAGTCCAGACCATCTAAAAGTAGCTGACACTATTTGAAAGAGCTCTCAAACAAGGCATCTGTTCCAAACTTCAGCAAAAAAACTCAAGTTCCTTTCTTTGTGGTTCTCAGAAATGCAGTGAACAAACATCCCTCCCAACCAAGCTTTCTGTAAATGAAAAGCAAAAACCAAACCAA